TGGCATAACCAGACATACCTTAATATATACACAAGCCGTACCGTACCTTAGTTGACACAATATTTCCTTCTAATACAGAAATAAAATTCTTTTCACTAGATTTATTTTATATTTTTTATTTGATGCTTAGTATTATTTTAAAACTAAACTATGATTTGTAAGTTATTTAATAATTTTAATTTATACCTTTATTTTTGGCATTAAATGTTAATTATAGGTTGGATCTTAACAAATAAAACTATAATCAATTTTTGCGTTGCTCTAAATTAAAAATGAATATTTTTTTTGGAAACGTACCAAACTGTACCGGTACCTTACTTTTTTTAGATTTTACCATATCAAGGTACGCTTATCGTACCCGTACTCGTGCTTCATAGCATGGTTTTGAAAATCGGACCGGACTGGCCGATTTGACCGGTTGAACCGTCAACCAGTTGGGATTCCAGTCCGAATATACCCTTTAAATCATTCGAAGCTAAAAGCCGACCTATTTAGAAAGAACCGTAAAAACCGTCGATTGAACCGGCGAACCGGTTGACCCGGAAGCCGGTTCGTTGAAATTGAACATTTTGATTTTTTTTTTATTTCTTATAACTTTTTTTTATTATTATTTCTTTCTCTCTTTCCTTCTTTCTTATTATATATATATATATATATATAAGAATATGAGAAAATTTTAATTGGAAACTCTCTTTCAAGGGTCTTCTCTTGTGAGGAATCCTATTAAGAGCTTGAAATTATTGTGAAAGGCTCTACCTATTTATAAGAAAAAAATTCTTCCAAAAAAACTCAAGAAATCCATGTGGGATTCAATCAAATGTATTAGAGGGAATATTGAAATTTTGATATTCCTTCAAAATTTTTATTCTTCTTTCAATCAAATTATTTGAATTAAAATTATATGGAGAGAATATTGAATATTTGATTTTCTCTTCCAAAATTAAAATTAATAATATTTTAAAATATATTATTATATTTTTGAGTCAAAAAAATATTAGGAGAAATATTTAAGATAATTTAATATTTTTAATTTTTTAATTTATAATTTTATTACTTATATATTTTTATTTAAATATAATTTTAATATATTTATTATGTCACAGTTCGATTCCGGTTCAACCCAACAATTGAACCGGTGATCCGTCCACCCAATTCATTTTCCAATTCGCTCACCGATCCAATTTTTAAAACGTTTCTTCATAGATCCCTCTTCTCTGAATACCCTGTTGGTTTCTCTCCTACTTTTTCTTTTCATGAAAGAATATACCAATTTCTGTACAGACTGGTAGAGCAAAACTAAATATTGAACATAAAGGTCAAGCTATGAAGTCCCCACCAAGTTTCTAGTAGTTTGTTTCTTTTTCTTTTTTATATATAATTTTCTAGGTCAAGAGCAATATAAGTACTTCAAGGGTTAATGGAATAATAATAGAAATAATTGGAATTTCAGCCGCAGACAGATCAAATCATGGCGGTGTTGACTGTTTGGAATCATGGAAACCATGGATGGAGAATTTACCTCTACCGTGAAATTTTAGAAAAGTTGTCATATTCTTGCTTAATTATGTTGCTCAGGTGTTCATTTGTCAAATGGAAGACTATAATTTTAGTTTTGTATATGTACATTGTTTGACAAACCGATTTAGAAATTGATGAAAACATAAAAAAAATTGTATCAAGAAAGAGATTATATATATTAAGAAGGAAAACTATTCTAGTTTAATAACGGATGGACTCAGTTGTAACGTGCCTAATACAATCATAACATTTCATAATATGCATCACAATATATTGTAACTTTTTTCACTCAAATAATTTGAAAAAAATAAAAAAAAGAAGTTACAAAGGATTCAGTGCCCTGAGGATCTGTTTGATTAGCATGATTCATAGGGAGGAAATTAACAATCTATAAAATTAGTGTAAGATTGATTATCTAACTGGATCAATGAGATATATAATTCTCTTTTATCTACATTTGTTTTGTAATAGATATAAAACTATATATATCAATTATATGTATTTTGTGTTATTAGTTGTAATCAGTCAATTTTGTTTGATAGAATTCCCATCGAAATCTAATCTGAATAATAAAATTTGGAATAAATTATACTTATACCCCTGAGGTTTGAATTTAATACATTTCATCTATTAACGTTTGAAAAATTACATTAACCCCCTGTCATTGTAATTATTTAGACTGAATGAAGACATTAAACTCATGCACTCTCTCTTTTCTTAATTTGTTTTACTTCCTCTGTTTTTTTTTTTCCTCTCCTTTCCTTTGCTTTACTTTTTTTTTTTTTTTTCCCTTCAATGTAATTCTTTCTATTTTTCTACTATGAGTTGTTGTCTTTTATATAAGGGAGTTTGTGAAATGAGACTATTAACCATAAGATGAGAATATAATTTTCAAAACGTCAAAGAGTGGGATGTAATTGGACTATATCCTAGGAGGTGTTAGTATAATTTTTTCTAAAATTTGCCACTAAAAAATAGAATGTGAATTTTATGAATTAATAATTTTAATCATTTGCTATAATTCGCACAACTAAACAAGCCCTAACAAACAATCATCTTTTTTTCTTTCCTTTTTTCTTTTTCTTTTTTTAATGGTTTCTTTTCCTCCTTCTCTCTCTCTCTCTCTCTCTCTCTCTCTCTCTCTCTTTCATTTTGAAGTGTAAATCTGATCTTAATATTAGATTGAAGCATTTTATTGGTGGAGACATGCATTGTCAAGATTTTGGGCCTTGTCTCCATTCAATGTTTCAGCATTGAACCAAACATATGACTAGTACTGATCAGAACTTTGCTCGTATTTCACTTTCCATACATTGGACTTTTATGTATTACACTTTTGTGTGTTCTCTGTCATATTAAATACAATAAATTAAAAAAAAAAAAATGGTGTGATAAAGAAGCCAACACTTTGTCTTTCTAATAGGGCCACTGTACTAAGCATCAAAGGCGACTTGCTTTCTTGTGTTCACTTCCAAACACCTAGTAGAATTTCGGTATGATGACTATATTTCTCCATTATATTATTTACAATAAAGATTGAGATATTGTACGGGAAAGAAATAAATCTTCTTGTATAATCATGTTGATCAAATCTGCGCTCTTCTGTACGTCGTCGCTTTATCACCTGAAAACACAAACGTGAGCTAGCCGGTGAGTGTGTGCCGGAAACCTCTCCGATGCCTAAGTCAGCAAGCTTGACAAATAGACAAAAACTCTGTGTATTCAGAAAATAAAGTTGTGTGTTACCTCTCCAAAGGTGATGTTTGTGAGCTTTTATAGGTTTCGTGTGGCACAATCCTAGTAGGACTTCTACTTCTCCATGTAGAGTCCTCCTAGGATTCATACTCCTGAAAGATAATGCTTTATCCTTCAACACCCCCTCACTGCTTAAACCAAGTGAGATGGTTTTTATAACGGTCGAACTCCAACATGATCGAAGTAAACATGACTATGCATAGCCGCAGAATAAGCCGAACTAGCTCTTCCTTTTACTGCTCTTACATCGGCTTCTCATGCACAACCCATGGCGTGGTTAGACCGAACTAACATGTCATGACCGGTGTAACTCCAAGACCGGTCTAACTCCAAAGTACCGTTAGACCGATCTAACTTCGATCTTCTGTTGGATCGGACTAGCTTCACGGCCTTAGGACCGGACTAACTTCAAAATATCCACACGACCGGAGTAACTTTACATGGCCATTTTACTCGGCCCTTTGTACTGCGGCTCATAACGGCCCATTACCCAGCTCGGCCCAATTTTCACATAAATTACCCTCTCAGATATAATAAATTACTTAAAATTTTATTAACTATTGACATGTTAGTAATCTCCATAATATGTAAAATTCATCACCATTTGAGTAATTGGTGAAATTTTGAATAGATCAATGTGTCTATTGCAAAGTTGATTTATTTATCATTCCATTTGTTGCTGTAGTGGTAATTTAACCGATCCTAATACTTATATCTTTTACCAATGTAGTAATACTATATGCTAAAGACATCTTGTATGAACTATTGTTAATATTGATAGAATGTAAAAAAAAATGTATTAAAATTATTAACATTTTAACATTATGTACTTATTAACAATAATTTATAAGATTTTTACTAGTATAATCCTCTAACAAACTATAATATATAAATATAATCCATATATTTCATTATAGCATTAAAATTCAGAAAAAGCCAGAATTTAAGTTACTAGTCATATTCAAGTAGACTATCATGATTTATATACTGGTTACTCTCATTTTTTGGGTCCACAAAGTGAAGTGATGAAAAAGAGTGTTGAAAAAGCTAGTGAGATCCCATTTTTACGATAAAATCAAAGGATACAAACAAGGCAAAACAAAAAATGGAACATTTCAGCCATGAAAAGTCTACATATCTGAAAAATTACTCAGAATATATAATTTAAGACTAAGATTTATTATTATAAATTGACTCCGCAATATAAATATTAAATTTAGGGAAAATTGGTCTAGGGTCCCTCTCCCACTTTTCATAATGGAAGAGATCCACAATATTATTTTATGATGTCTAAGGTCCCTCAACTCCCACACCCATATATCACAGAGAAATTTGACTGAAATCAAACCTCAACTTCCCACTTTTCTCTCTCTCTCTCTAGAATACATACACAAATATATATATATATATATATATAGCTTCAATGGCGGTGATACAGAAAGGATTTGTCAAAACTTCCTCCATGCACTCAGCAACCGACATTGGCCCACCACAAAACTAAGCATATACCACTGCCAATCATGACTTCAACTTCCCAGCTTATTCAAAATAAAAAAATAAATATATAAGTTGCAACAAGAAACTATTTAAACATTTTGGGACATTTATGGAAATTGAATTGGCCATTCTCTTTTCTTAAAATTCACTACAAGAAAATCGAGTTTTACCAGCATTTTTTATTGCAGCAGCTCGAAAAATGCTGCTAGAAATGGACTATCGTGACAGTTGTTGGCCGCTGCTAAAAAATCCAGTTTTAGTCACAGTTTTTCCTTAAAGTGCTGCTATATATTTTTTTATGGTGACGGTTTGTACTCACCCGCTACAATTAGCCAAGCAAAAATAAAGGGGCGCCAAAAAAAATCTCATTTCGCACTCAAATTTGATTTTTTCTTTTTCTTTTTTTTGGGTGAATAACATATCAGAATCAGTCCCCAACAAAACCGTTCAACTCCTTAAAGCCTAGATTGTGTGCCCTAGTCTCAACACTTCATCATTGAGCCTTCGTTCATCCTCTACCGGTGTATCGACGACGTCACGCTACAGCACCACTGTGATTTAAAGGTTAGTCTGCTCTCTCTGTTTCTCTTTCTTTACCCCTCTCTTTCTTCTGGTCTATCAGTTTCTCTCTCTACCCCTTTCTGCTTTCTTCTAGTCTCTGTTTCCTTCCCCTCTCTTCCTATGTTTTTGTTTTTGAATAAAAGAATGTACATTTTGTACACATGCCAATCTCATTAGTTTGACTTGATCTGTTATGTACAAATAGGCTACAAATGATAAAATTGTTTCCCAATTGGGCTAAAACCATCAAATTCGAAACCATCATCACCGTAGGATAGGAGGGTCTGATGTTTCGTGTGGCAAATGAGATCGGCTTGCGCCGGTGGATCCTCTTCTTCGGCGGTCGCACGTTCGAGTTAGAGGAGTCGTCGGTGGATTCCATAAGCCATCGAAGTTTGTCGATTGTGGAGAGAGGCCAGGGGCTCCGACGGGCTGTTGTTTTAGTTGGGTTTGAAATATGTTGGCTTGTGACGAAACCAAGGATGGCATCGCAAGAACCAGGTGATCTAAGGTTTCTAGCCTCTATTTCATCTATTTGTTTCATTGTTGCTCTCTCTGTTGTACATAACAGATCAACTCAAACTTAGCTTTTGATTTGTTTTGCATTTTGTTGTGTTTGAGTAGGGCTAGAGGTGGGTCATCTCTATCTATTATGTATGTATGTTAGGTATTTGATAAAATGTCACAATGGAGTAATAGTGCGTACCTTTTTCTTTATTGGTTTGTTATGTTTTTATTTATTTTTATTTTTTTTGTTGAGAAAATTGTTGTCCATGAATTTAATGCACATCTTGTAATGTTTTGTTGGCTTAATAATGTGATTAGAGGAAATTCAACATTTATGTACACCATTTTTTTTTTTGAATCTAAAGACATAATTAAAGAATATTTATTATCAACATAAAAACTTTGAAACATTCCACCTTTTTAACTGGTTTAGCAATTATGAAACAAATGCCCAAATACATATCTTCATATCATTGAAACCAATCTCAAATCACCAACAACCAAACCATCAATATCATAGGGACAAATCCAAAAAATAGTATATTATACTGGAGATTATAATGGGCTGTGGGCTCCTATATTCAATTGCCTCTCTTGTATACCAAGCCACAGGCACACTTTTTGTTGGTCCTATTTTATTTTTATTTTTTTCCATTTCTATTTATTTATTATTATAAACCCCTCAAATGTATGCTCACAAAAACACGTCAATACAATCCCACAAAACATGTAGAAAAACGAATAGCAAAGCATGTAGCTTTTGCTTTAAAGTTGTAAAAGAACTCACAGTTTGTCATAGTTTTCTTCTCTAGCAAATATTTATTTTCATATTAGTTGTAAAATAGGTTGCTTCCTTTGTTCTTTTAATTTATTTATGTTTAGTTTTATCTCATAAATTATAAGTAAAAGGTACACCAAACATTATTATATATATTCTCAAAATAAATAAATAACTCCAAAATTGTACCAAACATAATCTAAATCTCTGAATATAGCACAACTTTATAGAAAAATATTGTTCATCACGTGATTATATAATTCCTCTCTTGTCCACTGTTTTGTGGTTGATCAAATCATGCACTTGGAGTTTGTTGTATAGTAGCATGTATGTTGCCTCAGGTTTAATGCTTTTCAAGACTTAATTTCCAAAAACATACATGTGGCTTTTACATGATATCTCAATTTCTTATCTATTTATGTAACAAATCTTTAGCCTCTTCCCTTCAACTACTAAGTATCAAATGATGCCCACACACATGTTATTCTTTTAATTTATCACAATCTACTTGCTTAACATTGAATAGGCAGTCATTTCAAGCCCCCCAAATTGACCACATCACTGCTAAGGTAACTAGTTTCCAAATTTTGAGAACCAACTTTTTGAATTTGGTGCCTGCCCACCATTGAAGAAGCCCCTCTACTAAACATGGCATTACCCAAACCATCCTCCAATACTTCAATATGTTAAACCAAACTTTCCACACCATAGGGCAAAACAGCAGAACATGGGCCCCTCTGTCACTGATGATGAAGGTTCAGTGACTAATGTTTATTTGTTATATTCTATATTAGCTTTAGTATCTAACCAATAGATTGTCTAGTTTATAATGAGTTGTGTTTGAAACATACAAATAGAAGTAGCATAGTATAACATTTATCTTGAAAGGAATCTAGTGGAAATCAAACAAACTTTTATTATGTCATCCCAAGGAGTTGGACACAAATACATACATATATATACAAATGGAGGCTTTGTCTATAACCTTCATCAAACTAGATTATGTCTTGGGTAAGCTAGCTTTAGGAGGTAGTAGAGCATCTGCAGTTTGAACTGCTGCTCTTTTTAAAGGTGAGAAGTGTTGCAGTGGAATTTTTTGTGACTGCATTGGTTCCTGGAGCAGAGGAGAAACAGTGGTCTGCTTTTATTTTGTACACTGCTGTATTTGGGCAGACTTGATTTGGCTTGCGCCCATCTTTCATTGATATATTGTCGTTGCACTTGTAAGTTTATGATTCATCAATAAAGGTCCTTTTCTTTTGCTGATGTAAAAATAAAAATAAAAATAAAAATAAAAATAAAAATAAAAATAAAAATAAAAAGAATGCTCATTTAATTTGATTAATATGTTAGTTTTTGATTAATTACATCTATTGTTTGTCTAGTAGATATGGCAAAGAAACGATTTCCAACTTGCAGTATTGAGAATGAGTCACAGCACAAGCGATCAAATGGCCCTTCACAACCTAGCCTAGCAAATAACTCTTCACAACTTAACTTGCTAAATAAAACTTCATAGCCTAGTCGATCGAATGGCTGATCATACTCTAATTGGTCACATCTCTCACATGCTCCATCACAGGTTCCACATCCTCAACCTTAAGAATTAGAGGTTAACCCTCAGTTTGAAGACGACTTAGATAAGGACTGGTTAAGGGAAGAAGAAATGCAAAGTACCGGTATTATCAGATTTTTAGTTCAGGTACAAACTATAAGTCCTCTTTTTTAATGTTATTTTCATGTTTCAAATCATTACAAATTTTAATATTAGCAGCGTATCAAACTCTAATGTGAGATCAAAAGAATAGACCATTGGATGTTGTTGTTGGTTGCTTGATTAGTGGCTGCTACTAATTAATGTTTGGACTTATTGGCTGATTCAAATACTTATTATTGTTTTCTCTATTAATTAGGGGGGTTTACTAGTCTAGGGTATGTTTTTCTCTTGTTAATTAAAAGGGATTTGAATGATGGTTGCAACCAAAATAACCACCAAACCACACCATCAACCCCTTTCTTGTCTTGACTTGCTGTTGATGCAGTCACACAACAATATCCAAAGCAATCTTCAAGCTACATCTTCAGCCCCTTCCCTGCAACTACTAAGTATCAAATGATGCCCACACACATGTTATTCTTTTAATTTATCACAATCTACTTGCTTAACCCCCAAATTGACCACATCACTGCTAAGGTAACTAGTTTCCAAATTTTGAGAACCAACTTTTTGAATTTGGTGCCTGCCCACCATTGAAGAAGCCCCTCTACTAAACCTAGCATTACCCAAACCATCCTCCAATACTTCAATATGTTAGCCCAAACTTTCCACACCATAGGGCAAAACAGCAGAACATGGGCCCCTCTGTCACTGATGATGAAGGTTCTAAATTAGCTTTAGTATCTAACCAATAGATTGTTTAGTGGCTGCTATATGTTTGCCCAAACTCTAAGCTTATTTGTTATATTCTATATTAGCTTTAGTATCTAACCAATAGATTGTTTAGTGGCTGCTATATGTTTGCCCAAACTCTAAGCTTATTTGTTATATTCTATATTAGCTTTAGTATCTAACCAATAGATTGTTTAGTGGCTGCTATATGTTTGCCCAAACTCTAAGCTTATTTGTTATATTCTATATTAGCTTTAGTATCTAACCAATAGATTGTTTAGTGGCTGCTATATGTTTGCCCAAACTCTAAGCTTATTTGTTATATTCTATATTAGCTTTAGTATCTAACCAATAGATTGTTTAGTGGCTGCTATATGTTTGCCCAAACTCTAAGCTTATTTGTTATATTCTATATTAGCTTTAGTATCTAACCAATAGATTGTTTAGTGGCTGCTATATGTTTGCCCAAACTCTAAGCTTATTTGTTATATTCTATATTAGCTTTAGTATCTAACCAATAGATTGTTTAGTGGCTGCTATATGTTTGCCCAAACTCTAAGCTTATTTGTTATATTCTATATTAGCTTTAGTATCTAACCAATAGATTGTTTAGTGGCTGCTATATGTTTGCCCAAACTCTAAGCTTATTTGTTATATTCTATATTAGCTTTAGTATCTAACCAATAGATTGTTTAGTGGCTGCTATATGTTTGCCCAAACTCTAAGCTTATTTGTTATATTCTATATTAGCTTTAGTATCTAACCAATAGATTGTTTAGTGGCTGCTATATGTTTGCCCAAACTCTAAGCTTATTTGTTATATTCTATATTAGCTTTAGTATCTAACCAATAGATTGTTTAGTGGCTGCTATATGTTTGCCCAAACTCTAAGCTTATTTGTTATATTCTATATTAGCTTTAGTATCTAACCAATAGATTGTTTAATTTATAATGAGTTGTGTTTGAAACATACAAATATAAGTAGCATAGTATGATAACATTTATCTTGAAAGGAAGCTAGTGGAAATCAAACAAACTTTTATTATGTCATCCCAAGAAGTTGGACACAAATACATACATATATATACAAATGGAGGACAAACATGTATGCATGTGAAATTTTATATCTAAATTTTTGGGCTGTTTGTTGAATGAGAAATATGAGTCAATATTGAAAACTAATTAGTTGTTATTGTGGCATATTTATTTATTCAATTAGCAATTCTCTATGCATTTTTGGAAATCGAAATTGTTGGGTTACTTCAAAAAAGCTATTCTAAATTGTTTGTTAGGGGTTTGAATGTTGGTTATTTTATTGAAGAAACATGTTAGACATACTTTGAATAATTAAAAGAGATATAAGGGTGAATTGGATTAGAGAAGATGGTGTACACTCAAAAGAATTTCCTAGTTGTCCCCTTCATGGTTGTGGAATATAAAAATCCTGTGTTTATATCCCTTCTGTCTGTCAATGATGTTGTAAGCTGCTTTCTTTGGAGTTTCTAGCATTCTTAAAAAGCACAAATGATAAACAATACCAAACATTATATTATCACTTATTTTTTGTCGCTCCATTTTCTTTCAACCAATTGGACTTGGGAATTTAGTTTTCAAATAGACATACTTTTTTATAGGCATACTCACATACATAATATTTATTGGTTAAAATTGTGAGATTCAATAGGGTGTGCCATTAAGGCGATCCACCAGAGAAAGGAGATTTGCATTTTCAGATGATTATATTGTATATCTCCAGGAACATGAGGTAGAAAATGGAATGTCGAAAGATGATCCAATCAACTTTCGTCAAGCCATGGAAAGTTCCAACTCTCATAAGTGGATAGAAGCCATGAATGAAGAATATAAGTCTATGCAAGACAATAAAGTTTGGGAACTTGTCTCATTACTAGTTGGTGCGAAGCCCGTAGGTTGTAAATGGATATTTAAAACCAAAAGGGATTCAAATGGTAATGTGGAGAGGTATAAGGCACGTCTTGTAGCCAAAGGCTTTACTCAAAAAGAAGGAATTGACTTTAAAGAAACTTTCTCTCCAGTTTCTTCGAAAGATTCTTTTAGGACAATTATGGCGCTTGTTGCATATTTTGATTTTGAGTTGCATCAGATGGATGTCAAAACAGTTTTTCTTAATGGTGACATTAAAGAAACAATTTATATGGTGCAGCCAGAAAACTTTGTGTCAGGAGACCCAAAGAATATGGTTTGCAAATTGACTAAATCCATCTATGGACTCAAACAAGCTTCTCGTCAGTGGTACTTCAAATTTCATTAAGTTCTCACTTCGTATGGTTTTGAAACTAATGTTGTTGATGAATGTGTGTATCACAAGTTCAGTGGGAGTAAACACATATTTTTGGTTTTATATGTTGACGACATATTGCTTGCCACAAACGATATAAACTTATTGCATGACACCAAGAGATTTCTATCTAAGAATTTTGAAATGAAAGATCTTGGTGATGCTTCCTTTGTATTAGGAATCGAAATACTCCGAGATCGTTCTCGTGGTATTCTGGGATTATCACAAATGAGCTATATCGAAAAAGTACTCAATAGATTTGGCATGTTAGGCAGATATTTAAGTAATCCTGGCATGGATCATTGGAAAGCAGTCAAGCGTGCTATGCGATATTTACAGAGAACAAAGGAATATATGCTCACATATAGGAGATCGGATAAGTTAGAGGTCATTGGATATTCCGACTCCGATTTTGCTGGATGCCAAGACAGTAGGAAATCCACATCAGGCTATATTTATCTGTTAGCTGGCGGAGCAATTTCTTGGAGGTCTGCAAAACAGACGCTCATAGCTTCATCCACCATGGCCGCAGAATTTGTAGCATATTATGAGGCATCTAACCAAGGGATATGGCTGCGGAATTTTGTCACTGGGTTGCGTATTGTGGAAGGCACTGCAAGACCACTTAAGTTATATTGTGACAATAAGTCTGCAGTTTTATATTCCAATAACAACAGGAGCTCGACAAAATCAAAGCATATTGATATCAAGTTCCTAGTTGTAAAAGAAAGAGTGCAGAGTGGACAGATTTCCATAGAGCACATTGGGACAAAATAGCGGATCCACTTACGAAGGGACTACCACCCAAGGTCTTTCATGAGCACACTGCTCATATGGGTGTTGTTCTATTTGAGAACATTCTGGTTTAGTGGGAGTTTGTATTTATATTACTGCAATACATTGTTGGCAGATCTAAACGAGGGATATTCAACTATGTTAAAGACTGAGTTTGGACACGATTAAATGGGTGGAAGGAAAAATACTTATTGGCGGTTGGTAGGGAGGTCTTGATTAAATCGATCGCACAATCTATTCCAACGTACATTATGTCCTGTTTCCAGTTGCCTGATATGCTTTGTGAGGAGATTGATTCTATGGTAAGTAACTATTGGTGGGGACAGCGGGGGAACAAACGGAAAATACATTGGAAAAATTGGAGATTGTGTGAACAGAAATGGATGGGTGGGATGGGGTTTCGGTGCTTCAAGGCTTTCAACAAAGCCATGTTGGCAAACAACGGTGGAGGTTGATTTCATTGTTAGATAATGTCTCAATGGGACCACATAATTAAATGTGGTGTTATCATTTATAAGAAGCCTACAATTTAAGTGATTCAATTTAGTTAATAGGCTTAAGGGTATATGTGTTATGGACCTAATGTGTAGATACTAGTTGTATAATTTCTATTTCTATGAGAGGCAAAAATAGAAATTAAAACATATTAGTTAAAGTTGGTTTTCATTCCTTTTGAATTTCCACAACCTTTTAGTTTTGAAAACCAATAAATAGAAATTAAAACCAATAATGGTTAAAGTTGGTTTTCATTCCTTTTGAACTTCCACAACCAATTACAACCTTTAAAAGGTTATGATCCCTATTCCTTCCCAAGGTGAAAAAATAAGAATACTGTTTTGTTTTTCTAAATCTCTGAAAATAGAGTGTTTGGAGGGTGAGAAAATGACAGAGAAAGTGTAAGAAAAACTACAATTCAAGTAATCCAATAAATCTTATGGAGGAGTGGCTAACCCCCTCTAGTATCCATAAGGCCCAATCACATATTAAACAATTAAATTCAGAATTTTAGAGTGTTTGGCAAGAGAGAAATGGAGAGAAAATAGAGGAGAAAGTGCAAAGAAAGTTGAAGAATTCACTTCAAGTGATGAAGAAAGGCTCATTGATTAGCAAACCCTCTTCCAATCACTCTCAAGCTTCTAGGATTAGACTTGAATTCCCAGCAGAAAGTAGCTTCAAGCTTCAGGCTCCAATGTTGTATCTATAAGTGTAAGTATAGATAGAAAATTTGAAGGTCTCAAAAGGCTTTGAGATCAAAGAGGAGTGTTTTTATGCCTTGGTAAGCGTTTTCTCCAAAATTGTCTATTTCTCGACAATTTTGTCAGGCCAACCAAAAGATGTCCAACCTTCTCTTTTATGGCCGCTAAGCATAAAAGTTGTATGGCTGGACTAAATTTTGTTTGTCTGAAGCAAATTGCAGGGGAAACAAGGTTTTTCGAAAGGATTGTCCTCCTTTCCATTCATTGTCACTTTGTTTTTTCTCGGTTTATCGAAAATCTCAACATTTTGATTAAAAAGATGAGCTCAAACATCATGGAAATGATCAAATTTATGCACAACAAAAATCATTTAAAATGGTTTTTACAGGTCTAAAAGCATTTGGCCAAATCGGGTGGAAAAGGTTAGGATCCACTTTCAAACTTGAGCTTTCTGCTGGAGAAATTGAAGGCAACATGTGTTCCTGATTTTCATCATCAGGGCTTAGAAAAAGGCTCCCAAGCCTTAGGACTGATCAAAATAGGGTGTCTACAATATTACTACGTGATATTACCATTATATAAAATATTTAACAAAAATAAGAGTTTATCTACTTCCAATTAATAGCATGGAAAATCCCATGTGTAATTGCATGAAAATCCATTACTTTTAAATCTAACCTCACTTGTCTTTCTGTTAAATCTGTTTTCATGTTTTTCTTTTTCCCCTCTCCCTCTCGGGACGATCAAATCCTAGGTCTGTCATCGCCGTTGTTCAGTAGACCCTTTTACAAAACATCATA